TGAGACATAACATATTGAGTTGGCAGACCTTCCCTATACAATCAAAGTTTACAAGCATCTCTCTCCTTCCCGAGGCAGCTATTTCCCAGTTTCAGACAAGTCGTCTCTCATCCAGGTTCCTTAAAAAGCCTTCTGACACCAAAATCGGTTAAATGTTTTGAAATGTTCAAGGACTTCTATAATTATAGACAGGATTGTTTGTTTTTTATTGATTACAAAGTTATGCATATTACCGGTATTTAAATGCAGGTTGCTTCCGGAAAAGACGGTGACGTGTTCCGGTTAAGTGAGAAATACCGTAGGCTGAAAAAAGAACATAATTTTCCCCATTTAAAGATAAAGCGAATAAATCTAGATGTCATTGTCAGTGCAGCTGACATTTGTAAAAACCATATTTCCTGAAACTTTATGCATAATAAAGGAGAAAGCATCAAGTGTGTTGCTGGCGGCTGATAGATAACTGTAAAAAACTTGCTTTACTTCAAAACATAGAAGTGATCAGTCAGTAAACTCTCTCTCTCTCTCTCTCTCTCTCTCTCTCTCTCTCAGTTACAGATTAATATTCCTGAATAACTTCGTCTTCGATTGACATCAGCATATCCCCGCTATATTTATAGAGATTTTTATTTACATTAAATGTTCCTTCATCCTGGGCATCATTTTGAAAGAGTCTTTCAAGAATATGATTTAGTCTTGACTTGGGTTTGTATCAGATTCCCCACACCCTGGTATAGTTGTGAATTATATCAGGAATTATTATGTACTTCATAAACTCTGAGCATCATTTTGAAAATTACTTAAAGTCAGTTAAACTCAGAATATCAGTAACGACAGCGATAATAATTCAATTCAATTAGTTTATTTACCAATTAAGGGTCCTCATGGGGCAAAAAGAAAGTACATTGTAAATAAACATTTAAATATAGTCATATACATGTAATACAATATACATACACACAAGAGAGAAAGAGTTGCATGATTGATAGGAGAAAGACATAAAAAGAAGGAATAAACCGGATAGTTTTTATACATATACATGTACATAAATTCTGCAAAATATCATACATCATATATATGCAAATTTACATATTTATATCATATACACATATTAAAGTACATATTTTTTGCATAACTTATCATAAAACAGTTCACATGCCTCAGACTTGACTTATGGTAATGCTTTTTGTAAAAATCTTCCAAGAGAATTCAAAATATCTAATTCCTCACAATTTAGAATCCAGAATAATTTTTGTTTATCAGGCAATTTTGTAAAATGTTTTACGTTAGATGAGATTAAGTTAAATAGGTCTTCTCTTTCCTTTGTGAATTTGCTACAATCAATAAGGAAATGTTCTTCATCTTCAATTTGATTAAGCATACAATTTTTACATATGACAAACACCATCAGAGCTTACAGCGTGGTAGATGCTCTCATATACTCTGACTAGGACGATAATGCACAAGCAAAGCGAGTTAATCCAAACATCATTTTCCAGTATAGTTTGTAAAATGCTTCTATCAAGACTCACGTTGCTTTACTTATTTAAATACAAGCTGCATTTTGACATACCTAATAGTATTTATGAATACAAATGGAAAACAATGGATGAATAATAAATAAGTATAATCAAGGGTGGATCCAGGATTTTTCCTCCACGGGGGGAGGGGGTTGACATGTCAGACTCGGACATTTTTTTTTATTTTAAACAAAAAGAAAAGAAAAATTAAACAACTTGCCCAAACCCGCAAAAAACCTTTTTCAGGGTGGGGGATTAGAAGAAGACACTCCAGCCCCCAACCTTTTTCGGGGGATTGTAAAAATATACACTTTCCGAAGTCAATTTTCTTCAAAAACATGTCTTATTACCGCGTTATAGAGGGGGTACGTACAAGGCCATTTTTTGTTACTTTTACATATAAACTTAATAAATCTGATAATTTCAGGGGAGTTCCGGATCCCCCCCCCCCCTAGATCCACTCCTGTAAGTGAAAGCTTTTGTAAACATTTAAATGGTGTTATCATTATCTCAAGTAAAATAATATATTCCGCAGAACTAAAAAAATGTATTTTCCAGTAGCAGATGAATTTAAAACACATTGTTCTTTGGCAATTATCAAAATCCCGTGACCCACAAAACTCTTAATTTGCACGTGTGTTTTCGCAGAGTGTGCTCTGCATGGTGGGTACCGTTTCAAAGTCTTGAAAAGGGTTTTATGTCAATGAATGTTATGAACTGTAATTTTTCTAGCACGTTTTGTTTTAATTGATAATGTATACATTTCTTCTCATTAGTACGTGATACATGTAGTTGTTTATGGATTTATAGGAGACATTTATACACTCCAATTTTCGTTTGGGGTCATCATTTTGGTTTTTCTGCGTAGCGATTGGTTAATTTGTGGAAGATTTGTGGAAGGTTTTCCTCGTAGCGATTGGTTAAATTGTGGAAGATTTGTGGAAGATAAAGGACAGTGATTAGACAAAAGTCGAGCCAGCTGTTATAGGAAATGTTCTTCAGTCTAAGGAATCTACCAAATTGAGAAGTTAAACTATAAGTTAGGAGTAAAAAAGAATTAATTATCACAATATAGCAAATGGTTCCACTCTTTAAAAAGTTGTTACATTATTAAAATTAAATCTTGTCGGTTAAGCTACAGTACTGTTTGCATGATTATGAATATGATCATTATACTCTCTATACTTATCACTCACAAAATATTCCTAATATATATATCAAAATAAATAGATTGAACAACAAAGATGGTTCAATAATGATAATTACAAACAGTTACCGATAAATCTCTAGCCTATTCAATAAAGGATAGGAATATTACATCCATTTGGTTGACGAAAATAGGGTTAATGGCAAAAAAAGAGAGAGATGTCCATCAAAACAATCGCCTGAGGTAAAATTTTCACTAGTTCAGCTGCAGTATGTAACTTGTACTAACCAACGTGAGTAAGAGGGGCTGATAATCACGGATCAAATGAACAAAATATACTAGTGCATGTTTGTTAAAGTTTGTTAACCCCCCTGTGCAACGTAAACCGTTTTGGAAAATGCGTAGGTCTGTTTTTCAATTAACTGTGAATCCTGGCGTGGTGACATTTTTTTTTCGTTTTGAAAGTCAATTTATCTTTCAAGTCAGCAAAAAGAATTGTTAAACACTTTAAAGAATTAAGTATTACCTTTCTGAAATTTAAAATAAAAAAAAGAATTAAATTATGTCCACATATCATACTGCATGATAAAATGATTCTATTCAATATGGGAACAAAATAAATGACAGTATTTAATAGTAAAGCCTGCTTTTTCTTGAGATTTATCCGAGTTTTACCAATTTGTCATTCAACACAGAAAGATTAATCTTAACCGAATCATTCCTTATCACGAATCAGAATAATATTCTGAATTGAAATAAAAAAAAATTTAAAAAAAAAATTGTATATAACAAATTCACATCTATTTTATATCCTTCATCAATTAATTTCAAAATGAAAGAGTGAAATAATGCATATAACTGAAACAGAAGTAGATATATATAGATGAAATAAAAATAGTACCAAGTGCATGAAGTGGTCTTACAATGGTGAAAATAGTGGACCAGTTTGTTTACTTAGGTGTTGTTTTGAATTTTAATGGTATTTTTTTTATTACTCAAAAACAACTAGCAGTACAAGGCTGCGAAGCATTGTTTGCTCTTAAATCATGAAACAACTTCATATTAAGCAACATACTTTACTCTCTCTTTTTGATACTGTTAATCACTTTTTGTTCGCGAGAACTTTATTTTCGCGTAATTACGGGAGACTGACTGCTCGTGAAAATTTCTATCTCGCGTAGATTAGTATTATAAAAGATCATATAGAGCAATTACCGAAATTCGTGAAAATTTTGTCTTTCTTATAAATACCAAATAACAATCTGGCAAAAATAAAGTGTCACGAAAATTAAGTGATCAACAGTACTCACGTGTGTCGTATAATCTAAATTACGGTTGTGAAGTCTGGGGTATCCTAAGAACTGGTATAACAATCAAACAATTATCTTACTTATGTAATTTCCTTTCTTCATTACATTTTTGAATGCACACAGAAAGAAACTAAAGAGGGTAGATAATAAAATAATCTCATATACAGATCTATTACAGAGAAATTTGAACAATTCTTTTGAACAACAAACTGTTTAGTATAAAAAAAAATTAATATGCAAAATCTGTTAGTTGTCAAACAAATCTTAGATAGAAATAATTGACTTGAATGATTATACATGATTTTTATATTCTAATACTGTTTATTATGTATATAAATGTATTATATTCTCCCTGTGTTTGTAAATTCGCCTTCATTCCTTCTCTCTTCAATGTAAATTTTGTACATTTAAAATTTAAAAGAATACATTCATTGTCATTGTTTTGTATACATTTTAAATTGCAAATCAAGAACAATTTTAACATAAAATATTGGAAAATGGGTATAAGATTAAGTGATTCACGTATATTTGTGTGGAAACTCATTGAGATGCACGCCCTCTTGTTTACAGGTGATTATCTGTAACGATAAATAAAGGTCAGAAAAAGGGCTGATTGAAAGTTAAATCTGTTGACATTTCAAAATACATACATAAAAGTCCTGTTGTTGAGGAAAGTGCATTTTTTAAATAAATATTTATCATAAGTACTATTTTTTTTATTACTGCTAAACGATATTAAAGCCGTTGTCTGTTATCCAGTTACTTTAATTTACTCAATAATTATTCTCAGTTAAAGCATTTTTACTGAATAACCTTTTCAACCCTTTGACGTACACTCTCGATTGTGCAATTACTCCGACCAGCAATTTAAAATTCATTCGATATTTGTAAAGTGGTCAAACAGGTGACTACATTAGACATTGTGTGTATTCCTACTCATCCATGGGTGTCCGAGGTGAGAATGAAGAACGGTGTGAGACAGTATATAAAGACAGGGGGCCTCCCACACCAACACACGACCCTGAGACCCACAGAACATCACATAAAGACACAGATAAATATGGCCCTGGACGAAATTAAGAGTAAATTCGAGGGGAAATGGCAGTGTGTAAAAGCGGAGAATATGGAACCTTTTCTTGAGGCTATGGGTAAGTTATAAAGAAAATTAATATTGAACGTCCATGCATGGTGGACTTATATTTTTTTTAATTCATTCATACAATAGCCCAATATTCTAAAAATTTGTATCTTAAATATTTTAAATATACAGTAAAGCTATACAACTTTATTGTGTAAAAATGCGTATTTTGCGTATACGAAATTTCTTTCCAGGAAAAAAAAAACAATGCAGAGTTAATTTGCCATTTTCTCGATCTCAGATGTGAGAAAAATATACTGAAAGTGTTTGAAAAATACGTGTTATTGAGTATTTTTCAGCTGCAGACCTGTAGCTCTCTGGTCGTCCATCTCAATTTTTTTTCAGACCAGCGAGCTATACAGATCTGCATTTAAGTATTTTTAAAAACGAACGTGTACATGTTAAAATTTTGTTACCATTAAATGCCACTGCTACAAACTATCTTTTTTTGTTAAAAAAAAAAAAAAAAAAAACATGATTAAAGCTGTGTGATATGAACTAGTGGATATGACAATTGCCTTTGCATTCCTAGGAGTTAATGTCATTAAACGGAAGGCTGCCGCTCAACTTAAGCCGACCTTGATTATCACGGTCAAGGACGGGAAGGTCGAGGTCATTAGGAAACTCCCAATGAAGGAAATGAAGAACCAGTTTGTACTAGACCAAGACAACGACAACAGCGACGCCGACCATAAATTCAAGGTATGTAGCCCGCCTGCGTCTGAAAATATAACAAACACATGTACTATAGAAAATAATGCTACTTTATGGATACGAATAAATAATAACATCTATCAGATGACCTATTTTTGCTGGTCAATAAACTTTGTTTGGTTGTGCCTCCCCCCTCCCTCCCCTTCCAGCTTAAATTGCTTCAGGACTACATACGGGCTTGTATGTACAAGTAATCATGTTTATCTGTCTTGATATTACAAATACTAATGGAGACCTGCCCTTCTCTACAATTTCTATAAATATGCCAAATGACTAGAGGACATACATATAGTTATAATAGTCGATTGTATTTAAGTTCAAAGCTTTTTTCACTGCATGGAACAGAAACAATATGGGTGAGTCTAGTGAAACAATAGAAAAGAAGGAAAAGTCTTTAGGCCTATGGTAGCAAATAAGATGGTAACAAACAGTGTGAAACGAGAATGGGAGAAGATCAAACATCTTGGATTGAAGATGACTATTTCTTTGATTAAATATTTTGTTTGAAGGTGATGTTCACATATTCTGACGGGAAAATGAAAATGGATTTTAAAGCGGTGGATGGTAAATCTAAAGACAATGTGGTAGTGAGAGAGCTAGAAGGAGATAATCTAATCCAAGTAAATACTTATTCATATATCATCAATAAAATTTTCTTAAATAAAAATATCAATTTATGTGCGTTTGATTTGTCAACTTATTGACAACTGTGAATTATTCAGTGTCATGATTGTCCTCTTTTTCTTTTTTTCAGACTGCGACTTGCAATGGAATTACAGCGAAAACAACATTTAAGAAGTCCTAGATCTGTTTAATTTTGTACGTGTTTATTGTTGTTTATTTGTAAATAAAATTTTTATTTCTATATCGGAATATTTACTTTTTATTCATCAAAGACTATTTATATATTTATAGAAAACATATTTGAAGAAAAAGTCACATCATATATTAAGTAAGCACTATGTACCTCCACCAGCCTTCGAAATCTGAAAATAAAACACTACTTTTTTTATATTACTGTGTGGCAATTTCAAAATAAATAAAAGAATTTAGAGGACAAAAAAAGACATACAGTGTATATGTGAATTAAATTTTGATTATTAATTAAATATTGATTAAATATGTACTAAAAGAGCAATTTTGTGATCAGGATGTGACAATTCCTTTCATGTTGCACTAGACTAGAGAGACTGTACGCACGTCCTAGACTGCGTAAACTGGACCTAGACTGACCTAAAATATGATATTGAGACAGGTCCTATACTGACTGTAAACAGGACATTGAGACAGGTCCTAGACTGACCGTAAAATGGACATTGAGATAGGTCCTAAACTGACTGCATGTATACAGGATATTAAGATAGATCCTAGACTGACCGAAAACTGGACATTGAGACAGATCCTAGACTGACCGTTAACTGGACATCGAGATAGGTCCTAGACTGACAGTTAACTGGACATTGAGATAGGTCCTAGAGTGACCGAAAACTGGACTTCGAGACAAGTCCTATACTGACCGTAATCTGGACATTGAGACATGTCCTAGACTGAGCGTAAAATGGACATCGAGATACATCAAACCTAATTCAACATCACTTCCCACATTAAAATAACAACTTGTGGAATTAAGGGTTGACGTAGGGGAAGTAAGTTCCAATTTGTTGTCAGATAGTAATGCATTAATTTATAGATATCTGAATATCAATTTAATATTATGTTAAAACGCGTTTGGATATTAGCTTCATACAAGAACTAGTAATCAAAAGTTGGAAGTTGCATAAATATGGCATTGCCTTCTGCACTCATTGTACCCCTCTCTGGAAACACCATGGACCTGCCTTTTCGCCTTAATTCAAATTGACTTGAAAACATTTGTACAGTCTAATATACATGTAATAGTAATATGAAAATGGTTTAGATTTTTATTTTAAACATACAGAACGGCCTGAACGCCTATTATGTAGTAAGTTCTGTAAACCAAATCAACAAAATATTGAACTTTCATTAATTGTAATTAATACTTGATAACAAAGTAATCATTACAATTTACGTTCAATCAGTTGTGTTATCCCATTAAAATCAATCATATTATTATATAACAGAAAACTCGAAATCTACTATATATCAAAGTCATGGTTCACATGGTTAATTTTACATTTATCCCGTAATCCTATTCAATATGGCGTTTCCTCGGCGTATATTCCTCTGGTCTACCCGGGGTATTTTGCAATATTCTGAAAAAGGATTAAAATCGAGAGTGTATTTTAAAATTACCAATAATATTTATAGAATTGATTCTTCAATTCAGCCGAGCTCTGTCGGGGTCACAAGGGAGAACAGGCTGGGGATATAAAGGACTGACAGATTTCGGTTGGACGGTCCTAGCCTCCATCAGAGTAACCATGGCACTGGAGGAAATCAAGAACAAGTTTGAAGGGAACTGGCAATGTGTAGAAATAGAAAACATGGATCCTTTCCTAGAAGCTATGGGTAAGATTGATGTAATCACATAGGCTTACATGTTTATATATTAGACGTGGAAACCAAATGGAGGAATGGGGGACTCCCACCATAGCAATGCTATAACAAAGTTCTTAAGTAGTTTGTGCCTGACAATATTAGTGAATTGTGTCAAGATTTATAATCATTTGATGTACGTAGAGTCATTTCATTGCGATGTTGTGCAACACAGCAATTAATTATGAATCTTAAAGCTCCTGATAATTTGCACCTCTGAAGTTCCAATTTACTTTATATTTTTCAAAATAATATCAAAAACATCGCCCATGCAATTCGAATCTATTGCAAATATTTTAAATCCAATACCAGGGCCTATAGGATCCAATACCAGGGCCTATAGGAAACAAATTGTTGCGGGTTTTGATGGGTGTGACTACTGATTACTAATCTATAGGGCTTTGCATCGATTAACGAAGGCCAATCGCATCTTTCCATGTTGTAGGCACTCTGAAACAACCTGTCAGTAGTTAATACATCAATACATGTACATGTTGCATTTGACGAGATGCCTCATGTACACATGTTCGAGAATGAAATATTATAACAGCAGAAGGGAATAAAGCAGCTATAATTAGTAACCAGTTATAAAGCTTTAACGGTTTTCTAAGCTCTCGCGTATGAGAAATAACTGCTTTTTATGTTAGGGAAGAGAAGATTTTATTTGTTCAGAAATACATTCGAATGCAAATTTGAAAAATCGAATATTTCTTTTAATGAGTATTGATTTCGTTGCATCCTGTCTAAGCGAAAGATATGAAGCAAAATTGTTCAATTACAATGTACAAATATTGCTGTCAAAAAGTGTTCAATATCGAATATTACCTATCACCATAAAGTCAAACTATGTAAAAAAAAAAAAAAAAAAAAAAAAAAAAAAAAAACTACTTTTGGGTAGTACGCAAAGAATACTGTTAGAAAGGTAACATTGTTAACAAATACATATACAAAATATTATGTACAACAATTAGATAAATCTATTGCTGTACAAGTCAACCCTCTATGTAGTCTTTGATATCGATACTTTATGGTAATAAGATTTCAATTAGCTACAACAGTCACATTGATTTTATATACTTACTGTACGCTGATTTCTCTATTTCCTCGACTTCTATCAGGTACATGTATATAAAACAGAACCTCTTCTGTATTCCTGTAAAAAAATGAATAAAATCTCACTAATTTCCTTCTTTCTATTAAAAAACATCTATAGGCGTGAATGTCATAAAACGTAAAGCAGCAGCAGTACTGAAACCAAACCTGATAATCACCGTAAAGGACGGTAAAATGGAGTTTGTGCGGAAACTCCCTATGAAGGAAGTAAGGAACCAATTTGCGCTGGATGAAGAAATAGAAGTATCAGAAGATGATCATAAATACAAGGTAAGCTTTCAGACATTACAGAAGTGACGTCATAAATACAAGTGCTTTACAGATGTGACGTCATAAATACAAGGTGTCATTAAAGAGACGTCATAAATACAAGGTACCGTTATAGAAGTGACGTCATAAATACAAGTACCATTAGAGAAGCGACGTCATAAATACAAGTACCATTACAAAAGTGACGTCATAAATACAAGATGCCATTCAGGAGGTGATGTCATAAGGACAAGGTACCATTTTAGAGGTGAGGTCAGAAAGCCGAAGACGTGAAAATAATAAATACAACGTATTCTTCTTGTAATTAAAATTTTACGAACACTTAATTTATTTCAAATAACTTTATAATACAACATTGTACATTGTTCAATTACTTTTTAAAATTTGAAAATATCGAATTGTCATTCAACTTTTGTATTGATTGATATTCTTAAAAAAAATATTTTCATTAAAACCTTGTATATTAAACTCTTTCTAAAAACGTATCATAATATACTAAATATTTCCTTTGCAGTTAAATGTAAAAAAAAAAAAAAAAAAATAGTTACTTGCTTCATATTTCAGGCAAAAGTGTCCTACTCTGATGGAAAGATGATGATAGAATTAAAAGCTGTAGATGGTAAATCTAAAGACAATGTTGTAGTAAGAGAGATAGAGGGAGAAAATCTAATCCAAGTAAGTGATCAGTCATTGTAACAGACATAATCTAATCCAAGTAAGTGATCAGTCATTGTAACAGACATAATCTAATCCAAGTAAGTGATCAGTCATTGTAACAGACATAATCTAATCCAAGTAAGTGATCAGTCATTGTATCAGAGATAGAGATAATCTAATCCAAGTAAGTGATCAGTCATTGTAACCAAGATAGAGATAATCTAATCCAACTGAGATAGATATAATCTAATCCAAGAAAGAAATCAGTCATTGAAACAAAGATAAAGATAATCTAAACCAAGTTAAGTGATCAGTCATTGTAACCAAGGTAGAGATAATTTAATTCAACTGAGATAGAGATAATCTAATCCAAGTAAGTGATCAGTCATTGTAACAGAGATAGAGATAATCTAATCCGAGTAAGTGATCAGTCATATTGTAAGATAATGGGAGATCTATCCCACCGTGTGGCCAGTCTTTTTTTTAAGAGGGATTTAATCTTCCAAGATTTTAATGCTTTCCCTTAAGCCCTTTCCTTTTTATTTTCCTGGCCATGGCTTCCTTTTTCGTTATACTTCATCTTATGTAATATAGTGAGGGACGTGTCTCTTTTTGTATTTTCTTCTTTTTTTTCCTTTTTGGAGATGGGGGTGGGATGTATTTATTGTTTTTAATAACATGTGACAAGGTAGGTCACAAATTTATTCAGCTATACCCTTGTGATGCTTATTGGATGAAATTATAAGAATATGTCATCTTCCACAGAAAAATACCCAGTTTTCTTTTAGCTTGTCAAGGCCAAAGGTGGTATTATATGTGTAGTGATAGTAGATAATGATGAAAATATGTCATCTTGAAGAGATCTTCAGATAAATGTTGATCATTTTTTAAATGTCAAGAAGCCAAGGTCAAATCTAATGACATGTTCAAATTATCGAAATTACTATTGTGAAATTTGACAATTACACTCAGGCTGTATGTTTAAAATAACCAAAACAGAGATAAGCTCGACATCTAAACAAAACTGTTGATGGAGACAAAAAGGAAGATGGACATCCTAAATTTGTTTTACAATCAAGCATATTGTGAAATTTGATAAACATGCACTCAAAATATAAATAGTCGTGAAGATAATTTTTCTTACAATTCAAAATATGAAATAAACAAAATTTATGATTAGGACATCATAACAATTTTGATCTTTTTCAGACAGCGACTTGCAACGGGGTGATTGCGAAGACGATATTCAAAAAATCTTAGGTTCGGAGATTCTTTTTTTCATTGTGAATTGTGGTATTGTGTAATAAAAGGCTTTATGTTGTCCAGCGTTTTGTGTTTATTAGAAACTCGTATTCGTACTTACACAGAGGATTACATGCACGGATCTAGAAGGGGGTCGGGGGGGGGGGGGGTCTGCCCCCCCCCCCCGGAATTTGCAGTCATTAAAAGTATATACTGAAGCAAAAAAAAAATTACTTTGGAACCCCTCCCCCTAGAAAACCTGGACCCCACCATCACCACCACGAAATAGGTGTTTTTCACGTAAGGAAAATGGATTATATGGGTTTTTTTTTTCTTTTCTTTTCTTTTTCTTTTTTTTTTTTTTTTTTTTTTTTTTTTTTTTGGCTTGTCAAGAAATTTTTGGGTGGAAATTTTTTTGACTGAGTTGGACCCTCTCTGGAAATAATTTCTGGATCCGCGCCTGAATTATTGTCTCATTCCCTGAGGAATTTCATTATTATACTAGAACTTTCCAGTGTCCATGCACCCATCATCTAACACTTTTTTGTCGTTGGAACCATTCTGTCCATTTTAAGATGCAGCAGCTTTTATGACAAGACAAAACATTGAGACAAAGTCATGCCAGAATTAAACCATGCAGCTGATAAATTCTTCTTTTTTTTTAAGAAAAAATAAACGAAGTATTGGATTAGGCACATGTTCTAAGAACGTACTTGGGCCTCTATCTGGTAGACCAAAAAAAAAAAAAAATTCACAACAATTAAATTTCATCTGTCCTAGAGTTCGTACAGAATAAATTAGCTTACAGCACGAATGCTAATTTTGCATAATATTTTAAGGTAATTTACTAGAATACTGAGTACACACGAAGAATAGGTCTAATTGAAAAAAATAAAGTTGTTTATTTTCACCGAGAAAAGTGAAATATCCACCAGAGTAAAGTATGGGCGTCAACACAAAGTTCGTGGACATTGATGTTTTAATTAATGAAATAGATATATATGTATCAATAGTATTTTATTGATGTTGAAACTATCAATTTGTTGATGAAATTTCCATCACTGAGTGAATGTGTTCGTATTTGCAAGGAAATAAATACTGGTATCGAAATTATTAAATTCCGGTTTTACTTCCGATTCCTCTCGGTGTCTTAATTACAATAATTATGGTGAAATCAGTTGGACTCTAGGAGCTAGCCAGTGACATATAAATATGGAAATCTTCAGAGGAGTCACGAGCTGTATAATAAAAAGTGATCAGTATCATTAATCCGGTAAACAAAAAGAATCGTGAACACGGCAAAAAACGGGCCCCTGGAAAAATTACGAAAAGAAAGTATGTCCGAAATGGAAAAAAGGGAAAAAAATGTGGCTGTCAGCCGCCGGAGTGTTCCGTGCCGGAACCCGGGATTGAACCGGGGGCCTTTAGATCTTCAGTCTAACGCTCTCCCAACTGAGCTATTCCGGCTGACAATTACTTGATGTTTAAGAAACGTCAGAATCAAGCACACTCATTTCACATGTGTATATTTTGACGAATTGTATAATAGTGCTTTATGCAGTTATAGGCTAAAATATTTCGAAATAATAAAGAACAGCAAAAAAACAGGAGAGTCAGAATTGCACTTAGTAGTTCTGAGAGAAGCAGACGTTCTACTTTGTCACCTTTCGTTATTTGTCGACATTAAACAAACAGTGGCTTGGGGCAATGTGCGTACACGTTTTATGATATCGGAAACCTTCGACCTGTTAGTGTTAATCCACAACTGGTCAAACATGGCTCTTGCAGAAATTGAAAAAACGATAGCAGGTGTATGGATTCTAGACAGGAACGAAAATTTAGATGAATACTTAAAAGAAATAGGTAAGTGTCCTTTCTGTGTTTTGAAATTCTCCCTCATTATCATCTAACCTCCAAAGGCTAGTTGGCCTTGTGTCCATTAGGGCGTGTTCAGATGCCTCATCGATCTAAAGCAATGAACGAGATAACACGGGATTGTAAGATCGCGCTTTCGTTTTTCAGTTTAATCAGAAACTACCAGTATTATACATCTACATTTATTATACATGTTATAGTGAATGGTTTCTATAATAATATTTTGATACCTAAAAGTACAAGAATTATAGCTGTGACAAACAATTATGGAAGAATGAAAGGGACATAGCCCTACGTGGAATTGATTAAGGTGATGAGCTTAAAGTTGAAAAACTACACCAATTTCCACTGGATATAGTTTTACATAATTAATAATTACAAAAAATGTAGTAAGTCACCTTTTTAGCTCACCTGAGCCGAAGGCTCAAGTGAGCTTTTCTGATCGAAATTTGTCTGTTGTCTGTCGTTGTCGTAGTCGTCGTTGTAAACTTTTCACAATTTCTTCTTCTTCTCCAGAACCACTGGGCCAATTTCAACCAAACTTGGCACAATGCATCCATGGGTGAAGGGGATTCAAGTTTGTTCAAATGAAGGGCCACGCCCTCTTTCAAGGGGAGATAATAGAGAATTGGTGAAAAAATTAATAGCATCTTTTAAAAATCTTCTTCTCAAGAACCACAGGGCCAGGAAAGATGGTTGTTTGATTGTATGTTGTTTTACGTCCCATTCGAGAATTTTTCACTCATATAGAGACGTCACCACATACCGGTGAAGGGCTTCAAATTTTGACCTTTACTCGGCACTCAGGGCCATTGAGCAGTGAGGGATCTTTATCGTGCCAACGCCTGCCGTGACACGGGGCCTCGGTTTTTAAGGTCTCATCCGAACGACCCGCAACTTTCACTTCAAAGTGCCGAGCGCATGGCGAAGGAACAGTTGCTACCCATTTTTATCGACTTAGGTCAGTCGCGGCCGAGATTCGAACTCACGACCTCCCGATCACGAAGCGAGCGCTCTACCGACTGAGCTACCGTGAACGGTACCAGGATAGATGAAACTCATGTGGAAGCATCCTCAGGTAGTGTAGATTCAAGTTCGTTCAAATCATGATCCCCGGGGGTAGGGCAGGGCCACAATGGAGGATATAAGTTTTACATAGAAATATATAGGAAAAAGCCTTTAAAAATCTTCTTCTCAAGAACAGCAAAGCCATTATGAGTCATATTTATATGGAAGCATCCTCAGGTAGTGTAGATTCAAGTTTGTTCAAATCATGACCCCCGGGGGTAGGGCGGGGCCATAATGGAGGATCAATGTTTTACTTAGAAATATAAAGGAAAAATCTTCTTCTCAAGAACAGCAATGCCATGATGAGTCATATTTATATGGAAGCATCATCAGGTATTGTAGATTAAAGTTTGTTCAAATCATGACCCCCGGGGGTAGGGCGGGGCCATAATGGAGGATCAAAGTTTTACTTAGAAATATAAAGGAAAAATCTTCTTCTCAAGAACAACAAAGCCATGATGAGTCATATTTATATGGAAACATCCTCAGGTAGTGTAAATTCAAATTTGTTGAAATCATGACCCCTGGGGGGTAGGGCGGGGCCACAATGGCAGCGAATTTATTTATATTTACTTATAAAACCCAAAACGTTACACCATGATAAGTCATTTTGATATGGCAGTGTAAATTCAATTTTGTTCAAATGATGACCCCCGTGGGAAGGGTGGGGCCCAATGGGGGATTGAAAATTTTACATAGGAACATATAGGAAAATATCTTCTTCTCAAGAACTGAAAATCATGTTTAGTCATTTTGATATGGAAGCATCCTCAGGTAGGGTAAATTCAATTTTGTTCAAATGATGACTCCCAGGGCAGTGGCGGATCCAGGAATTTCGTAACTGGGGTGGGGGGCAGTAGTTGCAGTGGGTCTGGGGGCTGCATTGAAGCCCCCAGTGGGTCTAGAGCAAGGCCTTGGTGGGGGTCTGGGAAGGTGACGAATTCTTACAAAGAAGAGATGTTTTTTCCTTGATTTTAGGATAATGGACATATAAGTTCTACATAAAAAAAATTCAAACCGGCGGCGCACCGGCCCTGGATCCGCCTTTACGGGGGTAGGGTTGGGCCCAATGGGGGATCAAAAGTTTTACGTAAGAACATATAGAAAAAATATTTCTTCTCAAGAACAGAAAGACTATGTTTAGTCATATTGATATCGAAGCATCCTCAGATAGTGTAGATTCAAGTTTGTTCAAATGATGACCCCTGGGATAGGGAGGAGCCACAATGGGGGATCAAATTTTTACAAAGGAGTATATGGGAAAAATTTTTTAAAATCATTTCAAGTACAACAAAGCCATTTGTTAAATTGACATGGAAGGTAGTTTAAAATTCAAGCCCCCCCCCCCCTCCCCAGTAATCTTTTCAATAATGAACTGATTTGTGCTTTTGCCTAGCCAATGTGCTCAGGTGAGCGATGTGGCCCATGGGCCTCTTTTTTAAATTTCAGATAAAGCTTAAAAAGAAGTTTCTGTTAGCATTAAAAATTATCTTGGAATCACATAAATAGTGGTTCAAATCAAAGGCATAATTTTAATGATGAAAGTTCCGAATGATTGTAACTTAATGTATAAAATGTGGATATCAGGGAAACCATTTACAACTCAACAAAATGTATGAAATGAAGGTGCACGAATATAAAATGTTATTGCTTTTTATTGCCTTTGCACATCTGAAAAAAAATGAATAATTATGGTAAATATTAAACGATATTTTCAGGCCAGTAGGAAGCAATTTCAGTTGGGGGGGGGGGGGGGGGGCCGCACAGCCATACATTTTCAGTTGAGGGGGCACTCTCATCTACCAAAAATTTCTTGACAAGCAAAAAAAAAAAAAGAAAAAAAAAGGTCGTCATATGTTTTTATTGAGGGGGCACAAGCATATAGTATCTATGTTTTCTATGGTCATCTATATATCGGCAAAATTAGTGCCCCTCCCGGTTCCTACGGCCATGATTTTAATTACATCTATTTTATAATATTCTTCTATAAGATATATTTCTATTTGTTACCATGTTATGTTGATGAAAGATTTTGCAAAAGCTAAAATTTAACTACCAGGAGTTGTGTGTTCCATACTAATGATATAGAAAGTAAAGTCTGAAAACGGCTTTTATATCTAAAGAATTTTATAAGGTGATCTGATCAGAGATTTTCTCAAATTTTAACAATGTTTATTCAGTGTAAAATTCATGATAGATGTTGAAAGTTCTTATCTGTGTAGTCGGTCATAAATTCGAATTCGTGTTAACATTGTTTAGTGTATAAAAATATTGATATACGAGGGATTATCAAAAAGTTCGTGGACTAGCGCCATAAAATTAAAACCGCTTTGGGTACATCAATGAATTTTAATACATTTAGTTAGCATCATCTTTTCTATCTTTAGAATAAACCATAAATCATAAGTTTTATTTTTTAATAAATTGTTAATGTTTTTGTAAGCAATGGTATGTCCAAGCGGCGCAACCTCAAATAGGACGTTTTTTCTACCTGAGTGTAACTGAGAAAAACTCTTTTGATATGAGCATTTGTCGTCAAAAAGTCCGGTTAATTCAGGCACGTGTTACAACACAATTGTTTCGTAAAATTTGCAATTTTTACCCCATTCTGTAAATTCTATGAAATTTTATCGTAAATTTTATATGGAGTGTCCAAACAATTAAGGGCTTGAAAATGACGTCAAAAAGGGGGAGGGGTTTCTGTTTCCAACATTCTTTAAAGTTTCGCACCTGGAAAAACTGGTATAGATCTAGGGAATGTTTAAACGGACTACAGAAAAATAAAATATATCCAGAGTACTTGTTTTTAAATGTCCAAAAAGATTCAGAGAGATGAAAGATGCACAGTTAAAGTCAAGTTGTAGTCAGGGTGTCAAAATTCAGTCACGTCGAAAAGTGACGTTGATCATGTGTGGTAGAAATTGAACTCCAACAAGCTAAGTATTCTGGTATAATCAAGTGAGGATCTTTCCTTATGTATAGATACATTTACAATATTATATGCATTGAAAGCAGCTGTTCATGACATTGTAAAGTCACATAAACAAGACGGACTTAAGTCAACTCCAGGTAATCACATCAAGATAAGTGTATAAGGTAGGCGGAGTGGACATTGAGAAACAATGACGTTGTCGGACGTCATGAAACTAAACGCCGACAGCGCCCCGGGCAGGGTGATCATATAATGCATGTCTTTTTTTATTTTAGAATAATTTGGAAAATTATCAACGTATCAAGCTAAAATTTTCAACATTTCTTAAACTATTGTTGTTTTATGTTTTTCATAAATTTTGTAAGCACAGACTACAAAGTATTAATTTTATCGCATCAGTCCACGAACTTTTTGATAACCCCTCGTACATGAATGCAAATATGATAGAATAAAACGCCATTAAATTCAGTGATCCTCTTCCATCTTGATTTTTAATTTATTGAAGAGGTCTATTCATTTTTTGTATTTTTGTGATCTTATAATCCTATTTAATCAAGCAGAAGAGTAGAGGTGGACTGAACCAGTCTTGATCTGAATCACATGAATAGCTATTGTGCTACAGACGAAATGGCCGGGTCGACGAACTCGGAGCGCTTCAAACGAGAGGATATGACACCTCACTGCATCTAAGCTATAATTATTTGTCAAAGTCTGTATTCATACTGGTAAATCCTGTGTGGTTCCCCGGAACTGCTGAATTGTCGATTGAACATAACGTGGAGTGAATATCTGTTTATATTCCGAGGACTGTCTCTTGATACGTTGTAGATATGTAGTAAATTCATCTGAGATGAAAACATGAATTTAGAAAAATTAGCTTCAATCCCTACCTTTTTCTATTTATATGTCTTTCTGTAGCAACAATGACTAAAACACTAGATTTGATTCGCATTTTTATCAAATTTTAGATATTCCGAATAGGACAAGTGTACACATGTATATGGTACTTTGTTTCAACTCTATATCCAAATTATGAATGGTGGGAGCTGCAATTATATTATTTGAGTACATAAGCACACATGATAAACCATCAGTTGAAATAATCAGGAAGAAAGAAAAGTGGAAAAGCTCTAGAAACTACCACGAAGGCAAAGTCAATGTGAAATAATGTTAAAAATATTGTAAACATTCCACCCTTTCTCTTTAAGAGAAATGATATAGGGTCGATGTTTGTCTCTTTAAGAGAAATGATATGGGATCGGTGTTTGCGTTAATATGACAAAGTATCCATATGCTTCTGCATGAAGGTCTTGCAAAAATTTTAAAGCATTGATTTAATCATTTTGTTTAACAAAGAAATACATGTATGTATGCTGTAGACATACATGTATAATATAACGTTGAAGACAGGTCGTCTGGACATCGCAGAGTGCTGATCTAAATCAATATCAGCCGTGACCGAGGGCGAGACTAATTCTGGTTTCATTCACGCCCATCATTTCTGGAGTAATTTGATCTGACTATAAATACATGTTCTTTCTAAATACACTGTAAAACCCTTCTGTAAAACTTAGTTTATCTATTTAATTTTGTTTTTGGGCACGTTAGGTAGCATGGCGAAAAAGATTTAGCGCGGCAATAAAAGAACTACGCACGCTAACTCTCGATTCCCGCCTACATTTTACACCCATTTAATTCAATACTAATGGTAATTTGGCCGTAAAATCTTTGTTGAATGTAAAGAACAGTTCAAAGGTAATTGACTGATAATTTTAATACCAGTGTGAAATAGTTAATTACCCCTAATTTTAGCTCTTTAAATAAGGGGGGTAGACGATATTTTCCATTGAAATCGGGCTTTAAAGCATCACCAAATTTTAAAATATTCTTAAATATGAATAAATGTTCCTTATATAAATCTTTTCTTATGTTTTACGCATATAAAATTAAACTATATTATTAATAAAATACAATGTTTTAGTTGTAAACCCCTTTGAAATTGGAGAAAAAAATAAGCATTTTTGTAGTTTTTCGTTTGTAAACATGTGCCCCCCCCCCCCCCCGTGAAACACAAAAAGCTTTGGTATGAATTCGTAAAATGATAGTCGATATTACCTGTAAAAAGGAATTTTTGCTTCACGGGGGGTAAAGGGGGGGGGGAGGTGTTTTAAAAATATTTTTTCGTTTTCCGTTGATTTCTGTAGTGAAAAAAACACAAGTTTTACCAAAATTATAGAGTTATCTCTCTTTGTTTTCCCAAAGAAGTAATGTTTTATGAAAATTCATATATATATCTATATAGATATGAAAAATCATTCAAATGTGTTAACTTTTGAAAATTGACTTGGAGGTAGGCGGGAGAACAATACTATCGTCCGCAGTTCTTGACAATTTGAGTGATTTTGAAATTCAGCTAAGACACGTGTAATTCAGATGCACATGCTATATCCTTATTTTTATTTTTCTACCTTCTCCGCTCCTGTCACTCCTGTGTATCAATTGCTATTTGTGCTAACAATTTTGTAGTTTAGCTAGTAACCCTTGTATAAAATCACATTTCATTTTACACAAAAAATGATAAACAGTAATTCTTTTGGGGGGTGGGGTGGGGTGGGTGGGTTGCTATCAAAGATTTTCGGGTAATTTTACCCCCCTTCCCAATTTTCAACCCCCATGCTAGGAGCCTGCTTAGATCTAGAAGGCAAAGTGAGGAGCTGGAGTCGGGATGGGTCGGTGTCATTTCATAGGTATACATGTAGCTTCCTTGTCCTTCATTTAAACGTAAATCCCCAACAGGCCATCACCCTAGAAAGATTTGTTCTATACGTTTGGTTGAAAATGGCCAAGTTTATGAGTCTATATAGTAAGCGAGTCAAAAAATGAAAAAAAAGTTAATGAATCAAATGAAAACCCGACATACTATACAATAAAACGGTCGAGTCCCTACAAAAAATAACGTCTGAAGACCTTTTTTCGGCTTGTTATTTCTGTAAGTAGTCCCTCTCTCTCCCCCAACTGATATTGCTTCCGACGAACCCGGGACAAGAAAGGAAAATTGCTCAAGCTCAAGATTTCTATTTCTTGATTTTGTATGGTGGTGGTGGTGAGGCGGAAAAGGGGTTGTTAGGTTCCAGCTTATGATCGTCTTGAAACAAAAGAGTTGGCCGGGGGGGGGGGGGGGGGCTTTCATTGATCGTTTATAAACTAAACAGTAAAAGATTAGGTTTGGAAAAGGGGTGCTATTTCCGTGCCTGTATAGTAAGCGACACTGTTGGACACTGTTACACTCACCGTAATTTTTCTCAAAATAATCTCAAACATCTTTATTAGGTGTGAACTTTGTGCTCCGGAAGTTAGCGGCTGCCGCCAATAGCACCATGACGATAACGGTGGAGGACGAACAAGTTCGGATCCACACCAAGGGACCAAAAGACTCCGACCATAATTTTTCTCTGGATACTGAGGTGGAGTCTAGCGATCCTCAGGACAACCCTATGAAGGTAACAAGATCACGTGACAGAAAGGGGAAGGACACAAGATATATATACTGTCTATGGCGGAGCTAAGGGTCAGAGGAATGGGAGGGGGGGGGGGCACTGACTTTGGTAATAGTCATTGTCCAGAAAGGATAGGGAAAACTATTGAAGATTCACAATGGAGGTCCGGAAGATACTGTAAATGATAGTTGTAAGGATGGGGCTAAGTAACATAGAAATCAGATTTATATACCATAAAGGGGGGGGGGGTTAAAGTAGACGTCGGTATATGGTGGGAGATTTGAGATTTATATAGTTCTGTACAATAAGTTTAAAGGCATTGTAATTAGAGGGTATAAAAGAATTATTTCTCATACACATTTGTAAATACATTTTTGCAAATTTAAACGTAAATTTCCTGATTAACTGCATAGGCGCTCCCCATGTAAATGACGAAAGAAAGGTATATATATATATATATATATATATATATATATATATATATATATATATATATATATATAGGTCTACCCGTCTACACTATGAAATCAACTGTTGATTTTATAGCATAGAGGGGTATAGACCTATCTATATATACTTATCTTTCGGCATTTACAGAATTACATGGGGGGGGGCTATGCATTTTCCGCTTTATTTTCTGTATGACACTTACACTGGTATTTCCTCTTGAAAGGCAGTAGTCAAATGGACAGACGGTAAATTAGTCACACATTCCATGCCTACAGTGGGGTCAAAGGCCAAAGAGACGAAAGTTATCCGAGAGGTGGTGAACGGCGAGTTAATAATGGTAATAATTAACTTTCCTATTACTAACTAACACTCTAACACGTTACAGGCTACAGTCACTTGGGAAGACGGGAAACTAATTACGGAGGCCAAACCGACCGAGGGGTCAAAGGGCAAGGCGACCCGAGTGGAAAGAGAGTTGGTGAATGGGGAACTTATAATGGTAGATATCAAGCTCCAGGTTATTTTAATCCACGCCAGCATTCATAGCGCAACCTTCACATGTGTGCATGAGAAAGAAGCACACGTGCTTTAAACACGCATGCCTGCTAATTTGCTTTTCAGAAGGGGAAGCAGACATTAATAAATCAGACCTCTGGGTCACATAATTTCTTAGTTCTTTGCTGTGTCATGCATGTTTTTCTTTTGTTTGTGTGTGTGTATATGTTTGGTTTTTGGCTCGCGGAAGGAGGGGGTGGAAAGGGAGGATTAGCTAATGTAAGACGCTGTAGCCTATAACAGGCCCATAACGGCGTAAGAAACAATGTCAGCTGGGGAGAGGGGGCACAACCAAAGATTTTCCTTTTGGGTTGGCACTACTAAGAAAAATTCATTGACAAGCAAAAAAAAAAAAAAAAAAGAAAAAAGGAGGGGGTGGTCATCAGACGTAATTATTGAGGGGCACTTCAGTAAAATGCCCATGTTTTCTACAGTATACCATATATCAGCAAAATTATTGGGAGAGGGCACTCTCCTCCCTCCCCCACCCGGTTCTTACGGCAAGAAAACGCATGTTGTTTCCAGAGAAAACTAACAGTAAACGACTTAATCAATATTCACAAATGAGAAACATTCCTATATTTAATTCAGAATTAGAACATTAGTGAATGAGGTGTCATTTTACATTATACCAGAAAAATGTGTATTTTCAGTTATATACAATGTAGCTAGAACTAATTGCCTGTAATTGTCTCTTCTCGACTTCCGCTTTATAAGAGCTTTATAAGATTCCTATACATGTACATCAGCTAAACTGCAACTGTAAATTTAATACTAATTATGCTTTCCTAATCCTTTTAGAATTTTTCTTTGGTTTAATGACTTAATTTTCTTTATTGTAGACAGTTTATGTCAACAATGTCGTGTGCCGGAGAATCTTTAAGAAGAAATGAGGTCCACCATTTCCTCTCGCTCAGACCAGATTTGTTCAGTATTAGCATACTTCACGACACCGTCACATTAACCATTATAATAACATGGCTACATCGTATATGGACCATGTACATATATTCAAGCTGATATGCAGCCGTTATGTATATATTTGTTCGTTTGTTTTTGGTTTTTTTGTTGGGTTTTGTTGTGGTTTTGGAGACCAAACAGATGAGCCCATTCTTTCTATAAAGTACCATAAAAATTAGTGAGATTTATAATTGTATATGAGGACCAACCAATTGTTATATGCTTGTCAACAGATCTAATAAACAAGTGTTATAAAGTCTGTGTTAGGGTTTTATTGTGTGAAAAGTCCCAGTTTTATAGCAATACATGTTCACCAGTGCTATATTCGGCAAAGCTCGAAGGATTCCGTCGCCTTCATTATAGATGAGGTACGAATCGTCCTAGGTGTACCGAGTGTAATTTTACACAATCTTTCACCAGAGGGCGTATTACGCTCCGCTCCAACAAGTAAGCGGAGCGTAATACGCCCTCTGGTGAGAGATTGAGTCTTAGATCTGTAACATGAAGCACACCTGATACAACCTCTTCAGTCACCATTACAAGAGGCCCAAGGGCCTTACTGGTCACCTGAGTATAATACAACACTGTAAGGAACCATAGAAGTAAAAATAAACTGAGAGATGATGCCATAAATACTCAAAAGTAAGAGGAATAGGATGAACATGGATCAACAAAATAAGAAATCTTAGAGTAGATCATTTTACTTGCCTGTGCTTGCCCCAATTTGTCACTATCACAGTACGATATATCATAAAAATTCTTGTATAACTCTCTTATTCAACTGACCTTTCAATTACATTATTAACAGTGTTTAATTATCATAGGCAAATAGAAAAAGGGGAATAACATCTATCTGTAGAATAATGAAGCCCTGCCCAGCACCGCAACACTTGACCAAGTGGTCCTGAATTTCAATTACCCTTGATTATTACAACTTTGTAATATGTTTGCTCCTAGATCTCCAGAGCAGATTTTCAAAGAAATAATGTATTTTCAGTATATAGATTCAACACAGCCCCACCCTAACACTAGAACACAATGGTAAGGGGCCATGAAAATCAAAAGAAGATGGGTGTATTTAGCGTGTGATCTGCAGGAATCATCTGTACGAAACATTCATAGTTTAATGTCCACGATTTGGTCGGCTGACCACAGGTGGACAGACTTTCCAAAGTTAGGTACACAGGAAAATGTTACGTTTGGTTTCAAATATCTTGTCAAATTGTTATATTTAAGTCTGCCCATCTTAAAAATTACTATAACATAGTAATGCTTCCCATAAATAATAAAAACCATTATGATAAGGGTATAGTTAAAGACAAGTACATTTGTATATATTAAAGTATCAGTAGGTTGGAACAATTGCTTTTGCGCTCGGTGCAACAGAACCATAATAAATACATTTTAAAATAAAACAGTGCATAAAATTACACTGATAAAAGATTTGATTATTTGCATTAAAAAAAATATTAACGCTCTGTGTGAGGATAGAACTAAAAAAATATTTCTTTCTCATTGCACTGGACGGGTAACGCATACTACTGACCTATACTACAGAAACATTATGGATTTAAAAACGACATTGAAGCACCGCATTCACACATTGGATTTTTTTTTCTCGAAAAAAAGTTCATTATTTTTTTAATGGTCTCCGGGTCTTTTCTCCATTTTTTACAGATGTTTGTTTGTTTCTTTGAATTAAAATGCACACAAATAACGTTTAAAAATCATGGAAAGATGGCCAGAGATAACAATTGTTTTTTGAAAAACATGTTTAAAATTGTGAAATTTTGTATAAAATGACTCATCTAGCCAATTTTCAAGTTATGTTTAGCAAATCAAAACACAATATCAGGAAAATATTTCCCTTTCATATTTCTCAGGAACCGGATACATCACAAGAATGCTAAAATTTCATGTGACAGATCAATGACATTTTCACTTTTCAAGTGTGCCCAAATTCCTGCCAAATGCCTATCTAAAATGCCCTCGTTCTTTTGTAAGAGAAACACTTGCTCATCATAAATATGAACTTAGTTAAATTTTTCAAAGAATTAATGCATCTTCACTATATATTCAATATAGTCACACCCAAACACAATGACCCATGACCCTGAGGCCATTAATTTCACAGTTTTGGAAGAGGCACCCTTGCTCATCATAACATTGCATTTAGTTCCTTTGCTTAATACCCTGGAGCAGAGAAAAAGATTTTTTTTTTTTTTAAAAATATGTATTTTCACTATATAATCAATACAGCCCCATCCTACAACCAGAGCATAACCCTGGGGCCAAGAAATGCACAATTTTGGAAGAGGCATCCTTGCTCAACCTAACCATACACTAAGTACATGTTTGTTTGCTAAATACCTAGGGGCAGAGCAGAGGTTTTTCAAAGAAACAATGCATTCTCAGATTATATTCAACAGAGCCCCACCCTAACACCAAAACCCCTATGAATTTCACAATTTTGGAAGAAACACCAATATTTTCAAAGAGTCAATCAATATATAATCCATAGAAACCTGCCCTAATTCCAGAACACCTGACGCATGGGGCATGAAATTCACAGTTTTGGTGAGCAAGGGTGTCCCCCTCCAATAATTACAAAGTAGCCCCCCCCCCCCCAAAAAAAAATAAATAAAACTGAAAATGTTTGGTTGTTACCCCCTCCCCCCCCCCCTTTTTTTTTTTAATTTAAATTGTTTCCTATGGGACTGGAGCTAAGACAAAAACAGAACAAAAATAAAATGTCTCTGGTATTTCACTTTGGGGGAAATCAGAGAATTAGTTAGTACACTGATACAAGACTGAAAATATATAGTGCTATACAAATGGTTGTGATGTGAGAAAATTTGCCTTCACTCCAGTACTTGAAACAAACTTGTGTCCTTGTCCATCCAAGACCATAAAAAACTTTGTACATACAAAATTTGTGTTGAAAAATTTATTTTCTAAAATATTTTTGACAATAATTTACATTATATTAAAACAATACTGAATAGAAAAATATTATGACTTTCAACTACAAAAATTATCTGTGATAACACATGATAAAAATTCTTGCACAACCTTACAGATCAAAGTCCTTGATATGCTTATACATGTATACTGGAATGTAACCTATTAGCTACCTACAAAATTGATGAGGGATTTCTAATGAAAAAAAAAAGTGTGTTCTACCATGACATACCACAACCCTGATGTGATGAGTGGGTACAAAATTAAGAAAACTCACGGAAAAGAACACTTATATTAAATCTATTACACTTGTGTATACAGCTTACTTTCATACATGCATAAAATGTCCAATGGATACACTAATCATTACATGCAAGAATCTGTGCCTTAAAAAATACATTCATTTCTTTCTTACAAACTCATTCAAGGCAATGAACCATGATAGAAATTAAACATGTACATAGCACTGATATTATTATATATACAAATGATAAAAGACAATACATGATTATCACAGTATGTTTACAAGGTTACCATGACGATGACACCTAGCAACACACATAATGACCTCTTATACATGACCCCGAGCGACCTCCAAATTAGTGTCAGTAGAGACAGTTGACTGATTAACACAAAAATACAGATATCTCAGCCATTCATAATGGACTGTACAACACAATATAAAAACTGTATAAAATGTTATACATGTATGTAAAGGTTTGATCTCTATGTAGGAATCTCATGCTTTGATGTATAAATGGTTACAATATCAAATGAGTATTTTATAATCTAAACATAAACAGTGCATATTGTTCAAATTTTAAATCAAATTATAATTTATTGTGTTTAATCAAAATATAAATGTTGATTTCTGAATCAATTCCTGATTTTGTAATAATCTTTGTTGATATGCCTGGCCGATACAGAGGATTAAATAAGTTGCAATTTTTCCATACTAATATAACAAATTGATGTATATCAATATAAAAGGATAAAGTTCATTCAAAATTCTTATTACTTGATTATGACTGCATCAATATGCCAATTAAAAGTACATATAATTCTGGTAATTTCATTACTATCAATCATGTTTACAGTAACTGTCAATCATTTCCTTTTTAATCATTTTACAGCTTTATCACATATACAGGTATTTTATCATTCCTGAATCATATTAATAAAATTTCATATAGCCTTATCAAGTTTAGCCTTATCAGTCAGAATCTTCCTCATAATTATTGTACATGTCCGCTAATTTTGAGAATTTTGGTCCCCACTCATTTAGGAAGTCGTAATCCTGGTCTCCACCCGAGGATGACGTATTTAGAGAACTCAGTGAACCGGCATCACTGCCCTCCCCTTCATACTCGAAATCGTGCAGCGTGTCATGTGGAGGGGCATCAGGGTCATTGTTTGTGTCGTCAAGGCGATCTGTGATAAAGTCCCCAACAGTCCCTCCTGGGGGTCCAGCTGTATAAACAATGCACGGATTATAAACATAGACTCGACTGCTTCATCCTGAATCTTTAAGATTTTACAATGACCATTAACTTGTGTATAATAACAAGAGTGAACTCTCAGGAATTAACATATTGTATGGTAATAGATTTGATAATTTGATGTATGGATGAGTAACATATAATTAAGGTTATTACATACATTTAAGAGGCCTGCTATGGGTCGCCATGATTGGTTTATCCATCCTCGTCATGTCCGCTGGTTTCCTCAATCGGTTTATATCGTATCCCTCGTGGTCATCTTCACCTGTCACACAATCATTTTTTATATTAATTTATTGATCTGTTTACTTTTGTAACTGTAGAATCAGTGTAGAATCATTCAAAAAGCCCACACCATAAAGTACACGTAGATGCAAAATCATATAAATTCTTTCATAATGGCATGCTTCACTACTTAAAGGCGAAGCAACCTTTACAAAATTACTTTTGTATTCTAATACTTAAGAAAATCTTTTATTACAAATGGTATATGTCATATATATTATCTAATACACTGTCAAAATCAATCGAAATTAACTTTCAATCTAAATAAATGCACATGTAAATGAATATATTTTATAAAATTGTTCTCTTACCCGCCCCATCTTCATCGTAATCTACAATGTTTTCGCGGATGTCGTAGTCGTCTTTTTCATAGTTCATGATGTTTTCCTGATCAGCTGCTTTACGTCGTCTTATATAGAAAGCCAAAATAACTGCCACAGCTACAAAACCCAGTGTGTTGTTGTGAGGTAACAATGTATTAAACAATACTGAGAGTCATCAGATTTAGAAT